TACTGCATCCATAGGTGTAGGTCAAGTTCATCAAATTGTATCAGATTACTCTTTTTTTCCTCTTCTTTCTTCTTCTAGTTGAGCTCTAACCATCTAGTCATTGAAGCCAAGTCAAGTGGGTAATATCTGCAAATGTGGGTGTTCTTGTGCATATGCCCTCTCTTCTTACCAGCTAGATGCTTCACTCTCCACTCTAGTCCTCTGTGGCTATGTCACTGACTTTGGGCCCAAGAGTCCCCAGGTCTTGCCACACTGCTGGCCAACCAAGTCTCCCCCCAGGTTCACAGGAGTCTATTGAACATTGTAGGACTTAGCTCGAAGCTTCATTGCTGTTTTTCCCTCACTTCCCCTTATCGGTGACGAACATGGTCATCAATTAGAGTGTGTATTCCCATTGAGTCTTAGTCTTGGAAGAGGGTTTGCTCTGAGGGGACCCGACCACTTGCTTTGATGTCTGCTGAGTGAGCAACTTGCTTGTTCTTGTAGTAATCAGTCAGTCTGCCTATGTTGTTTGGTATTTTTCCTGTCAGTCTTTTTTCAAGAAGTATATTCTGTTCTTCTAGCTGCTCCAGGCTGATCTTCCATCCTTTCAAGTGGAATTTTCCCATCTCTGAAGATTCTGGATTCTGTTCAGGATTCCACCTATAGTCTTATATAATGCAGAGGCTCCGCAAGGAGTCTCCTTCACTGGGCATGTTGTAGCCCCATTTTAGGTATTCCAATCAGTTATAGGCAGAAGACGGACTTACAAGCTTTCTATGATGATATTTCTGGCTATTCCTTTCTTTTCCCCTACAGTGTCTATTTTATAATGGTATTCTAGGAAGACCAAGATACCAAAGACAGCCAAGCATCTTAACATTATTTGCTCCCTTTTCACCATTTCAACCATGTCTCAATCCCTGTATCCCAGAGCCCTGTTGTTCCAAGGTTGTGCATACATCATTCCTTACCTCTGTCCCACTTAGCCCATGCAAACCTGCCTAATTATTCTCCCATGTGCTTTGTTCTTCCATTCCACTCCTCCCTCTTGTATATTGCTCCCTTCCCCAGCACCCAAACTATCCTGTGTCTATTCCCTGCCCTGTGCTCCACCTTCCCCTCCTTCTCCTCACCCCACCCCCCACATCCCAGAAACCAGAAAAGATGAAACTTACTCTTGAACATAAGGAAGCTAAAGTGACCAGAGGAAATTGTGAAATAAAAGCACTGAACAGAAAACTTTGAAGGCAGCTCAAGAAGACAAAGTCAAGTATTATAATGAAATGTGCAAAGATCTGGAGTTAGAAAACTAAAAGGAAAGAATCTCTCAAGCCAAAAGAACTAGAAAAAAATTTTGAAGCCTCAGCTTGAAATAATGAAGGATTCTAGGGGCAAAATGGACTCCTGGTGTGGCTCCCAGAATAAGCACAAGACTGCAAACCACAATGCAGGTGGTTGATACCCACCAGTTGTTCATTGGAAACCCTGTAAAGGGTCAGGGATTGAGTTGGAATTGACTTGAAGGGACTTAACAACAAAAATGGGCAAAATGTTATATGATGCAGGAAGCATCAAAATAAAGTGGAAGGAATTCACAGAATCACCAAAAAGAATCAGTTGATGTTCAGTCATTTTAAGAGGTAGCATATGATTCAAGAATCTATTGTACTAAAGGAAGAAGTCCAAGGTACACTTGAAGGCATTAGTGAAAAACAAAGCAGCAGGGATTGGATTTAATGGAATAAAAAATGAAATATTTTCACAAAATGATTCAACAATGGAAGTGTTCACTAATTTATGCCAAGACATTTTAAAGACAGTTACCTGGTCAACAGATTGGAAGAGACCCATATTTGCACCCATTCCAAATAAATGTGACTCAGTATAACATGGAAATCATCAAAAATGTTATTAATATCATATGCAAGTAAAATGTTTGCTAAACACAATTCAAAAATGATTACATCAACAGGGAGCTTCCAGACATTCATGCAGAATTCAGAAAAGGATGTGGAACTAGGTTTATCATTGTTGACATCAGTTGGATCTTGGCTAAAAGCAGAGACTACCAGGAAGAAATGTACTTGTGCTTTATTGACTATGCAAAGGCATTTGACTATGTGGATCATAACAAACTATGGACAACATAGCAAAGACCACTTAATTGTGCTCATGAGGAACCTGGACATAAATCAAGAGGCAGTTGTTAGAAAAGAACAAGGGGACACTGAATGGTTTAAAAGCAGGGAAAGTGTATGCCAGAGTTGTATCCTTTTACCACTCCAATTCAATCTGTATGCTGAACAAATAATCTGAGGAGCTAGATGTATGCACCCCAA